GAAAAACCCAGGTCACATAGGGCCTGATCCAAAGCTCATTAAGACAGAATCCCATCTGACTTCAGTGGGCTATGGAGCAGGCTCTTAGATTCCCTGCATCATCACGAACATACTTTTGAGTGAGTCAAGTAACCTTTCCTGAGCAGCGTGGAACCAATGAAATACTGCCACCAGATCAGAGTCTGGCCGAGTCTAATCAGCATTCAGTGCTGTTGCTTCCATAGCATGAGGGAAGAAACACAGAAGCTAAAGTATATATAAAAAGAAAGCAATGAATAGAAAAAACAAAATTAGTTTTAAACTGGGGAGATGGTAGAGAAGGGCAGTGATACAGCCCAGAGTGCATTGTTTGCAAGAGTCTTCCTCAAGTGAGGCAATGCAGCTGATGCTAATGTCGTGCTTCTACAAATTCTTTTCAGTGTTTTCATTGTAATACAAGAGATGAGTTATTTAATAAAACTTTTATGAACATTACAGTTTTATGGATATAAATTTTATATAAAACATTCCCAAAGTTCAGATAACAATAAATCAAAATTAAACAACAGTCTAATTACTCTGGCATCCCCGGGCAGTACTGATGTGTTTTTCAGGGTTTTCCCCCCATCTTCTGAATAACAGTCGGTTGGGCTTGAAAAGCAGGAGAAGTGGGTCTCTTGGAATCTCAGAAGCTAGAGAGTTTGGTCCTTGATTTAGGAACCAATGATAAGAGTCAGGAGGAGTTGAGGATGCACACTAGCTTGGAGGTTGGAGCCATACTCACCATCTCCAATGGGAGTCTTTCCATAGACTTCAGGAGGAGATGGACCAGGCTCGTAATGAGCAGGGAGAACCCAGGGCTCAATCCTGCAAGATGCTAAACAATCTGGCTCCAATCCAGCACCTGTGCCCTGAGGCAAGTCTGTGTAATCCCTGTGAGGGAAGCTTTCCAGTGTGCACAACAGGGCTGAACAGAAGCTGAGGCACATTACCCCTTTTGATCTGAATAGATAACCAAAGTTCAGGATAACCAAATAACCTGCAAGTCATTTCCATGAGGAAGAGAAAACGATGAGCGAGCCTGTTATTTGTGGGTCTGGCTTTGGGGTGTGGGTCGCTGAACTATTTCACAATGGCTGATCACAATGGCTTCTTTACATTTATCCTATATGTAAGGTGGTGGTTACACCTTACCCATAACAACAAGGATTAACCCAACCCATAACAGGCAGTAGAGATTTCCACTTAGGACCCAATTTCCTGGGGTGAAATGTGGGCCCTAATGAAGTGGGGTCAGGCTGTCACCTCTAGAATCATCAGCTTTCAGCTAGAAGAAAGATTTATGTTTCTAACAGTCTTGGTTGCAAAGATAAACTGGAAAATCAGACCTGAGTGTAGCCAAGGCAAAGGTGTCGGCCTGAGTTTGCAGACAGCCTAAAACAATATCTCTGACAGATCTGAATTGTACTGTTCATCTGAACAGGATGTTAACTCTGAAATCAACTGTTCTCTGGGTCACCTGCCAGTTACACTTCAGTAGAGCCCTTGCTCCATCATGGGTCAGCTGGGGGCCCCTGACCAAGTCCTTTGCTAAACTGAGCAGGGGATAAGTCCCACCTCTTTTGTGAACATACCTGAAGAGACAGCAATTTGGTCTGGGACCCAGAATGTCCAACAGACATTGTATATGTCATCCCTGCCATTCTAGAAAGGAACATGGGCCTACGAGTGTCTTAATGTGTTCACAACCTGTGATGTGGAAATGGCTCTACGCTATTCTGGCATTAATAGTGCCAAATGGCACTAATTAAAACAAATCTCTCATAAAATGGGCTGGCTTCATCAGCAGTAAGCAAAGAGATATTTTCATTTTTTTTCCTGAGAATTTTAATGAATAAACAGCAATTCCTATTCATTATTTATCTACTTCTGAATTTTAATGAATAGTTCCCAGCGCTCATTAACAAATCTCTGTATTTATGGCAAACTGACACTTCATAAATATCAAATTGTGCTATTTTATGTGCTGGTTTTATATCAATATAGAAATTTAGTAATTATCACTCAAACTGTTCATTAAAATTCAAAAGCAGATAAATAATAAACTGAAGCTTTCTGTCTTATTATTGAGACAGAACGTAAAGACGCCATGTCTCCTTGTGTGCCGGGCCCTTTCCGCTGGTTGGTAGATGGAACCTGTTTGCTTTGGAGTCAGTTCCTTTTTAAGGTTTTAATATTTTGGGGTCTTTTGGGGGGCATTGTGTTGAGTGATTTCTTTGTTTCCTCTTGTACCCTTTCTCTCCTTGTGCCCCAGCATGTCGCTGTTTGGTGAATTATAATGTGACCTGGGTTTCTCTTGCCCCCATCCTTGCCTCTGCAGGTCGTTATTTAGCTTTCTGGGTTTGTCATTCTCATTCAGCGTTGCTCCGTCCTTCTTTCTGATATTATTTTTGTAGTGTTACGGCATAAACCATCAGTCAGTTTATGCAAATCCATGTGTGGAATTTCAAGTCCATAAAATCCAATTACAATTTACAAAATGATGTAATTGGCTGGAGCTGCTTTTGTTTGAAACAGCTGGGAGACAAAAAGAAAAGAAACCACTTCCTCAATGTTTGGAGTGCTGCAGAAGCTAGATCTTGATCTCATCTGCACAGGGTAAGTCGGGAGTAACTCTGCTGCAGTCAGTGCAGCTACTCCAGATTTATGTCACTGTACTTGAGATCAGAATCTGGTCTAACATGGCTATCATCCACATCAATAAAAAGGGTAACAACATCATAGTGCACTGATGCCTAGTGGTTAGAGCACTGGACTGGAACTCAGGAGATCAGGCTTCTTTTCATGGCTCTGGCCTTCTGGGTGACCTTGGACAAGTCGTTCCCTGCTGTATGCCTCAGTTTACCTATCTGTATAATGGAGATAATTATCGCAACCTTCTTTGTAAAGCCTATTGAGTGCTGCTGCTGACAAGAGCTGCATTATTAGTAATGTTATATTATCTCTGTAGTGCCTTACAAATATCACCTAATTAATCCACACAGGTAAAGTATTATCCCCATTTCACAAGAAGGGGATCCAAGATGGATAGAGCAATGTTGAATGACTTACTTCATATCACAGAAGGAGTCCATGTCAGAGCAAGAACTACAATGCTTACTCCGCAAGGAATTGTTCATCTGTATTTGAAAAGCAGACGGAATTGTGAGTCTTATAAAGGGAAACATACAGTTCACCTAAAAAAGCAGGAGTCTATTCAGCTTATATTATACACGCACAGTAGTTCTCATTGTGCTAACTGCTGTCTCCTTAAATACCAAGTCAAAGACCAATGCTTAATTTGTAATGAAAGAGCTGCTGGGGCTCAAGCAATTTTTTTTTACTCTCATAACTGATGCGGCAAGCCCAGAGACACCTGGGCTGTGAACTGCCAAGCCTAGAGGTGCCATGGCTCAGCCCTGGTAAGCCCCGGGACAAATTATGCATTGCCAAAGACAGTCATTCCGTTTCAGGGCAGTCTGCTCTCCAGGTGCCTCAAACAGTGACCATTGGCTCTCAAAGCTGCTACACGTCACTCTTCAGAGATCTGCGTGCAGTGCTTTCCTCAGGATTGTGTAAGATTGTTGCCATAATGGATGGAGTGGGGAGTAGCAACTTAAATCAAGCGGAGATAGATGTGACAATTAGCATTAACGGACGTGTCCCCTGACTTGTGTGCAATGTTCGTGTCCCCTTAGCATTTGGGGGGGGGGTATAGAAATATAAATATATTTAGCTCTTCTGTGGATCATTCCAACTGCCCTAGGTAACAAAGGGGAACTTGGGCTGTTAAATTTTGAGTGTCACTGTCTGAGTGTCCAATTTATCGACTTTGCCACGTGAAAAATCTATTTCTGTTTGTCCTAATTGGTCTTAAAGTGGTGCATAGGCCTAGAGCGGGAGCAGCACAGGGCATATTTCACCCACATGGTCTGTGCAGCATGTATTTGTTCTCCACATCTAGGATTGATTGATATTTTTCAAATTTCAAAATTACATTGACATTTGAAATTGTCAACATTGTAACATGGGGGGGGCAATTGACATTTTCTCTATATTTTTGTCCCACTTTTTGGCCATTCTGTTAATCATACACCCTGCACAGTGTTTAACTGGGGACTTTAGAGTACTGGTAGTTGCATGTATTTTGATGCCACCTTTCTCTTACCCTCTTTGACACTGTATAAAGCTAAGTTGTTATGCTGAGCAGTGTTGTTTCATGGTTTCCTTGTGCTCTCCAAATGTCCATCCATAGCCACTTGTCTCTTGTCTTAGATTGTAAGTTCTCTGGGGCAGCAACCATCTTTTTGATCAATATTTGTATAGCACCTATCACAATGACTGACCTGTGATTGGGGCTCTTGAGTGCTACCACAATACAAATAATAATAAGAAGGGGCAAGCTATGGTGCTCAACTACACAGGATGGGTGAGATTTTCACAGCTGCCTGAGGGATTGGCTGCCCAGTTCCCATTAGAAATTAATGAGAACTGTGCATGCAAAATCCCACCATAACTACATCCCTGACTAAGAAAATTGCTAACTAGCTGCTGCCAAATAAAAACCCTTCCTCTCTCGGCGGCTTGTTTCCCCCCTTTTCTCTTATTATTTTTAATTCCATCTCCGCTTTTTCAGTCTGACCCTTTTTCCCCCCATTGTGCGCAGCTTCTCCACAGGGCTGCCAGCTGCTATTCAGTGAGTCTGCAACACAGCTGAAGGCTGAAGGTTTCATTATAGCAAAGCCCTCCTAATGTTGTGCATTGTGCAGGTTCAGCAGTGCAGTCATTAATCCTCTCCCACAGCTCTCTGCTATCCCTGGGGGAGGTTCCACTCCAGGAAGCATATCTCCTTGGTCTGTCATGTTGAGAGCCAGAAGCTCCTGAATTATTTTTGAATTTATTGTCACAGTTGTAGCAACAGAAACATTTGACTTTTCTGTCTAAATCAATACTGGATTTCGTTCCTTTCTTTTCTTTTTCAGGGACATATGCCTACACAACCATTTCACTGCCAAGCTCTTCAAAGTTCAGTCAGAGTAAGAAAAAGAGACTGGCTCATTCCAGTGGAGGCTTCAGAACATCTTTCAATTGCCCCTCTTCAAGCAGGTCATTCTTAACGTTTTGATCCACATTTCCCCTCCATCTCAGGTTTGATGTTGGCCTACTTTTCTGTGCTATCATCCCCCTTAGCATTAGGGTAATAAAACAAGAAAAAAAAATCCAAGTACCAAGTTATTTCCACAGCCTTCTTTATTCACTGTGCTCATGCCCTTTCATTATATACAATAAGAAGATAATGATGTCGCTTTGCAGGTCTCTGTCCCCTTCTGTCTGAGGATCCCAAAGCACTTTGGGAACACAGGAATTGGCATGCTTTATCAAAGCAGAGGTTCATCCAGTCTAGTATCTAACAGTGATGTTTCAGAGGGAGGTGCAAGAAATGCTACACTAGGCGGTTATGGAATAACATGACCATATGGAAAATTTCTCCCCAACCACTTTTAGCATAAGCTTTATTCCCTTTCCCAAACTCTTGGCTTTGTTTAATCCTTCCTGTTGTAACTCTGGGTGTCTTTGTTAGCCATATAAATGAATTCAGCTGCACAATATCCTGTGCATTTATAAATCGGGGAACTATAGCTCAGAAAAGTTAGCAGACCAAAGTAATTTAATAAGCCTTTGGCAAAGCTGGGAACAGAGCCCAGCTCTCCTGGTTATTTTATCTGGTCCTTTGCAATAACTCAAGGGCTCCTGTTTAGAATGTTCTGTTGCCAGCTCTCTAAAGATTCACACTGTAGATTTGAAGCTGATATGTCACTCTGTAGGGGATTGAGAGATTGTCTCTTGTTAGCTAGGTCCTACCCTCTTAGAGTATATCTACACAGCCCACAGCAGCGAGCCTCCCAGCAGGGAGACAGTCTTGGGCATCCGAAGAAGTGGGCAATAGCCCACCAAAGCTTATGCTCAAATAAATTTGTTAGTCTCTAAGGTGTCACAAGTACTCCTGTTCTTTTTGCGGATACAGACTAACCCGGCTGCTACTCTGAAACCAGTCTTGGGCTAGTGGGGGTTGCGTTAGCACTCTAAGAACCGCTGTGAAGTTATGGCTGGGGCTGGAGCTCAGACTCTGAAGCCCACCTTCCTCCCAAGCAGCAACTTCAAAGTGCTGACTACTGGGACTAGTGGGTTTAAAGCGTAGTTTCAGGACCTTGAGTCAGATACAGGATCAACTGGGGAAACCAAGGGAGTGTACGGAGTACAACTGTGACGGGCACTCATCAATCTTTCCTGCCAAAGAGGTGGGCAACCACACATTACAGGAGCTGCACCTTGCAACTGACTTTACCCAAAGCCCTGGATTGAGTGAGTCCCCACAGTCCGACCTAGAAGAGGTGACAGTGTGCTCACAGTGACTAGAGACATGGATGCAGTTTTCTAGCCAGCTGGACACAGGGACCCTATGGCTTCTCTAACTCCCATATTAACAATGTCTGTGCTGCTTAATGCCACCACATACAGTCTTCCTAAAATTTGGCTTGGTCTAGGAGGCATGGACGGGAGCTAGCTATGCTAGACAGAGTGAAAGTGAAATAGTTGTAGAGCCATATTTGGCTTCAGCTATATTTTGGCCAACAACAATGTAGAGCATTCACAGTGAATCTCAAAATATGTACACTGTAACCTGGAAAGGCCTGAAATTGTCTAAGATCAGTTAGGAGTAGGACTGTCAAGCGATTAAAAAATTAATTGCAACGAATTGTGCGATTAAAAAATTAATTGCGATTCATTGCAAGATTAATTGTGCTGCTAAACAATAATAGAATACCGTTTATATATTTTTGGATGTTTCCTACATTTTCAAATATATTGATTTCAATTATAACACAGAATACAAAGTATACAGTGCTCACTTTATATTTATTTTTGATTACAAATATTTGCATTGTAAAAACCAAAAGAAATAGTATTTTTCAATTCCCCTATTACAAGTACTGGTGTGTAATCTCTTTACCATGAAGGTTGAACTTACAAATGTAGAATTATGTATATAAAAAACTGCATTCAAAAATAAAAATGTAAAACTTTAGAGCCTACAAGTCCACGCAGTTCTACTTCTTGTTCAGCCAATCGCTCAGATTGGCTGAACAAGTTTGTTTACATTTACAGGAGATAATGCTGCCGGCTTCTTTTTTACCATGTCACCTGAAAGTGAGAACACGCATTCGCATGGCACTGTTGTAGCCGGCGGTGCAAAATGCACCAAAGATTCATATGTCCCTTCATGCTTCAACCACCATTCCAGAGGACATGCTGATGACAGGTTCTGCTCAATAATGATCCAAAGCAGTGCGGACTGACGCATGTTCATTTTCATCATCTGAGTCAGATGTTACCAGCAGAAGGTCGATTTTCTTTTTTGGTGGTTCAGGTTCTGTAGTTTCCGCATTGGAGCGTTGCTCTTTTAAGACTTCTGAAAGCATGCTCCAAACCTCGTCCCTCTCCGATTTTGGAAGGCACTTTGGATTCTTAAAACTTGGGTTGAGTGCTTTAGCTATCTTTAGAAATCTCACATTGGTATCTTCTTTGCATTTTGTCAAATCTGCTACGAAAGTGTTCTTAAAACAAACAACGTGCTGGGTCATCTTCCAAGACTGCTAAACATAAAATATATGACAGAATGTGGGTAAAACAGAGCAGGAGACATACAATTCTCCCCCGAGGTGTTCAGTCACAAATTTAATTAACACATTATTTTTTTAACGAGCGTTATTAGCACGGAAGCATGTCCTCTGGAATGGTGGCCAAAGCATGAAGAGGCATACAAATGTTTAGCATATATGGCACGTAAATACCTTGCAACGCCGGCTACAAAAGTGCCATGCAAACACCTGTTCTCACTTTCAGGTGAGTAAATAAGAAGCAGGCAGCATTTTCTCCCATAAATGTAAACAAACTTGTTTGTCTTAGCGATTGGCTGACCAAGAAGTAGGACTGTGTGGACTTGTAGGGTCAAGTTTTACATTGTTTTATTTTTGAGTGCAGTTATGTAACAAAAAAAATCTACATTTGTAAGTCGCACTTTCACAATAAAGAGATTGCAGTACAGTACTTGTATGACGTGAATTGAAAAATACTATTTCTTTTGTTTATCTTTTTACCGTGCAAATATTTGTAAGCAATATAAAGTGAGCACTGTACTCCTTGTAGTCTGTGCTGTAATGGAAATCAATATATTTGAAAATGTAGAAAAAACACCCAAAAATAGTTGTTAAATTTCAATTGGTATTCTATTTACAGTGTGATTAAAAGGGCTATTAATCATGATTAATTTTTTAAATTGTGATTAATTTTTTTTAGTTAATCGCATGAGTTAACTGCAATTAGTCGACAGATCTAATTATGAGGGGTATTTTATAATGATTCTTGAAATAATACCCTTTTAATTTATCAACAAAAAAATCAGCAGAGTTAAAATAAAAATTAGAGCAAGTATAAATGGGAGCAGTTCCACTGTCTTCAGTGGAGTTGTGACACCAGTTTATAACAGGATTGAATTTGGCCCCCAAGATGTTTTTAACAGTTGCACAGTCCTGTTTTGATAAGTGAGCTTCCATCCATCATACTCTTTAGGGAAATCCTGATGAATCAAGGTAAGTTTTCACTGCGTGTATGAGTTTTAGGGGGCAGGCAGGAACAACCTCTCTTAGGAGTTTTTCTGAGTAACTATAGTGTTATAAAAACACTTAAAAACATGTGACCAGAGACAAAATTTCAAGCCAAAATACAGGATCATTGTTTTTTGTTCATTTTTGAAGAGGGAGATTTTAAAACTTTTCTTTAAAAAAAATAAACTTCTTATAAACAATAATGTCAGTTTTAAAAAATTCATTATGAACTGTAGCAGGAGGAAGTATTTGTTATAAAATTACAATATTGGTCCCTTTATCTTTTTGCAAATTATTGATGAACTGATTGTGATTTTTTTCTGAAACATTTTTATATGTTGGTATTAGCTGAGTGGTTCATACAGATGACTTTCAACCTATGGAGTGCTCATGAACTGTTAAGTTCCTTTGTAATTGAAATGTATATTGATGTGCCATATATGGGGAGTGGCTACCTTCCCCCATGGATGTGCATATTTCTCAGCTGTTAGAAGGATTTGGTTCTGGCCTCATGCAGCTCAAATGCATCTGAGTGCTTAAATTGGATGAACCTCTAATTGGGTACTGTTACATTATACAGATACTTTAAAATTCTTGGTAAAGTCATTTTAGCCTTTATCAGCAATTGCTGAGGTGACCTGGTGGAAAACAAAAGCAAAAAAGATCTAGCGAAGTTTATTAACAATGTAAGAAAAAAAGGCTTTGTTAGATGATGCAACTTTTTGGAAACATGTTTTAAACAACGTAAGTAGTTAATCTCCTCCAGATAAAGGAATGAAATTAGAGATGGACCCAGATCCAGGTGATGATCCGAATTCACAGCTCAAATCCATTTTTCTTTGTTTAGAAGTTGGTGTCAATAGGCTCCACTGAAGTCAATGGAGGTACGTTGATTTGCACCAGTTCTGGATCTGGCCATGTGAGTTTACCCTTACTGTAAAATGTTTTTTAAAAAAAGTCTTCCTCCTGAGGCCAGCTACTGGCTTGGCCAAAGGTAGCTGTGGGCAGCTGCAAGGAGATGGCTTTGGCTCATCTGCAAAAGCTACTTCCTAAAAGTCCTGCGGATCATAGTTTGAAAGTAACTAGTGGGGGGGGGGGGGGAGGCTTTGCAAACTGAAGCACTTTGGAGTAGGATTTTCAAAAGCAATTAAGGGAGTCAGGAGCACAAGTCCTATTGAAAACTATAGATGCTTTTGAAAATCTCCTCTTATTAGTTCAGTCCAACTGTTCAGAAGCTGTCAGACCATGAATTCTGCTTACACTGTATCAGAAACAGGCCCAAAACGGGAACCACAAAGAATCTGCCCACCACTGGACTTTAAGGGGAGGATTTGAAACCCTGATGCTACTATTGTGTATCCGGCACATTCTCAACCAGTAGGAAATGTAGTGAGAAATGTATTGGTAAAGGGAAGTCCTGAGGGATAGACTGATTCTAAGTGCAAATCAGTTGTGCAAATCAAAGCAATACAGCTAGAAAAGGAAGGGGTCCCTGCTCTCATTAATGAGAGTTTGAGCATGCATCAATGAGAGGATAGGCTTGCCAGGCAATTTAAGACTTATTTGGAAGTCAACTTGTGGAAAGAGAGTTTCATTTCAGGGGCAGTCCTGTCACATGGCATGGTAACCTTTCCAACCAGGCTAGGCAGGTGCAAACACCGCTCCAAACATCTGAGGATTCTGCTGGGTGGAAAGGGGATTAAGTTTGATAAATGCCTAAAGCCGTGTAGACTGACTGACATGACAGGAGGCAGAACCAGAGGCTATCTACTGCTGTTGAGTTGCTTAAGCAGACTATCCTCCCTTTGAAGTTTCTATGTGTGGCTTTGCTCAGCTTAAAGCATCTCTCTCAATATTCGTCTCTGGAGCATCAGAATAGCCAGGGACTTTTGTTAGCATTGTACTTATAAGTAGACCGCAATTTAATTTAATGTAAATCCTGAATGGTTCGGCATTCCTTCAAATTCAGGCAATTCCTTCTCTCTGGTCACATTTCCCTCCCAATCTGGGTATCATGACTTGATGCCCTAATAGAGAATCACTACTAGCGTGACATTAGCATTATATACTAGCAACAGTTATAATATCTAGCACTGCTAAGCTTCTGACCCGACATTTAGGGGAGAGACCCTCTGATTTCAATAGGCTTTGGAACAGGCCCTAGCGCTCTCACTGACATCTCACACAAGTCGTGTGGGCTTCTGACCATTGCTTAGCTCTTTCCGTCTCCCCAGCATTTGAGATCACTTGGTTCTTTTTGATCTCTGCTCTATTTGAATGTCTGGGTGCCAGTGGCAGAGTTTTTCCAACAGAGAGACCTCAACTGGACCAATAAAGTTTGAGTTGGGTTTCAGGAGTATAAATCCCCTCTGTTCGCTGTGGCTCTTGACTGAAGTGGTGGTGCTAGAGTATATTTTTGTCCATAATCGGAGACAGGGCTGAGCTGACACTGTTCATCTAATTGCAATAACCTCTTTATCCAGAGAGGTCCATGAGCCCAGAGTGAGCATAAGGTTGCTTAGGCAGAGAGAAAGGGTGATGTTATAGTTAAGGCTCTGCACTGGGATGCAGGAGACCTAAGCTGAGTTCCCAGTTCTTCCACAGGTTCCCTCGGCCAAATCAGCTAGGTACTGATTTTCAGAACACCCCAGTCCGTTGGAAATGTGGGTGCTCAGCATCAGTAGTGCAGTCAAGAGTAAAGGCAGGTAAATGGAGTTTACCCACTTCTCATTTGGGGAATAAGGAATTCAGTTTTGGGTAGTTTACCCACTTTTTTTTTTTTTAATCACTACACCACTGCTCAGCACCTTTACAAATCAGATCCTTAATGTCTGTTCTTCCATTCCCCATCTACTGAAACAGGGACAGAGGTAATATTATTTGTCTATCTGGCTTACTTAGCTACTGTAGAAACACTTCATAAGAAGCAGGACCTGCCCTGAAGACCTTGAAATCTAACATAATGGGCCCCAATCTGGTCTGGGCCTCTAGGAAATAACCTAACTCTAGTAACAAACCCTAAGAAAGCTCTGGTGAGATGCAGAGTGTAGGAGTGCTGGAGCAGAGACAGGCTTCATTTGCGTAGGATTCAGCCATAAAGGATCCTCCCAAATCACTGTCTCATGATCAGAATATGCCAGGGAAAAAAGATGCTAATTCTCTGAAAATACATTTGGAAGATTATACAGTTTGACTCATGGGCACATTTAATGAGTTTCTGGCAGAGCGACTGCACCTCCTCATTGAATTGCTCAGAACGAAGGCAGAATTTTAGTCACACAGAAATTGCATCAAAAGGAAAAGCCAGATGTTTTGTGAATCCCACCACTAATGAGCCACAAGTGCTGTTTTTTCCCATTGTACAAGAAAATTATGAATTTTTAAACATATACAAAACAAATTGTTTGTGATTACATTAGACCTTCAAAAGACAGTGTGAACATAAATTCAAAGATGAATAGAGTAATATTGGATGCTTGCCTCACTGCTTGACTTCAATAACTTATCTCAATAAATCCCCCAGCAGAAAGCATCTTATGTACTTCAAGTCTGGAGAAGATGAGACACGAATGCTGGAGGAATTACAAGACAGAGGGGCTTTACTGCAACAGTGAACAAGCTGAAAATTACAAGGTAATGGAAACTCAGCAGGAGGCCCTCCTACCCTGCCATTAGCTAACTTCTACAATGATTGCCTCAGAAAACACTTAGGTTATGTAAGCACTGTACACTGCTTTTGCACTTTGCATCTCCAGCCAGCTAAGCCCAGAGACAATTTAATTGGATAAGAGGAGATACCTGAGGAATGGGGACTTTGGCTTAACCAACCAAGCAGCACTACCCGCCCTGTGAATATTCCTAACCTAACCAGCAGGGATCCCTCATTCCAAGGGATTGTCTGCCTGTGTTTAATACATTGATCTTGGTATTTGCTTGGACACTGGCTACCCAGATTAGTTTATTAAAAGATGCATCATATTTAAGCCAATATAACCCCCACTTATTGTAAGTGACTGTAATGCTCAGGGAAATGAAGGGCTATTAACAGTAGAACAGCACTAGGCCTGAACTGGGTATAGTGCAGGCAGCCACAGGGCCAGTTTCCTCATTCTTCTCTGACATTTGCATCACAATCTTGATCTGGAGTAATTCCCTCCAGGCCTGGGTATAAGACAGGTGCAAGCTTGAGCTTCTCCGTGTTGCAGCTCTGTTAAGCAGCCAGGAAGCCAGGGAGGAAGGATAAATAAACCCTCCCCACTCTGAAGTTAGGAAGGGAAGAGGACACCCAAGTCTGCCCCTTCCCCCAGCAGAGGAGAAGCAGGAGGATAGATCCCCAAGCATCTGGGAAGGTTGTAAGAAGGAGTGAGAGGTGAACACCTTCTCTCAACAGCTGGGAAACGGACACAGAAAAGACACCTTTTGCCCAGAACTTGGGGTCAGGACATAATCTGAGTGAGGCGAGAGAGGCACTAATGGGCTGAAGGGGATTGCCATACCATACTTGGAGTGCCAAGTGCCGGGACTGTGTCCCAGTGTTCACATTTGGCTACTGTGACAGGACAGAGTCCTGGCTGGGATGATTTAGTTGGGATTGGTCCTGCTTTGAGCAGGGGGTTTGAGGTCCCTTCCAACCCTAATCTTCTATGATTCTATGATTCTATGACAGGAGGGGGCACAATCAGAGGAGCACTTTGCAGACAGCTTGCTCTGTGGTTCCATTTAGGGTGACCAGACGTCCCGATTTTATAGGGATAGTCCTGATATTTGGGGCTTTTTTTAATATGGGCTCCTATTACCCCCCCCTCGCCCCCTGTCCCGATTTTTCACCCTTGCTGTCTGGTCACGCTAGCTCCATTCGGTGACAAAACATCTCCTCTGCTCTTTGAGTGCCACTAGCTAGACACCCGCGGGTGAATTCTGCCCTCGCATTAAAGACTTCCTATCTCCTTTATCCTGTCACTCCTGGTTGCACACTCATTTAAATGGCAGGGCTTTAAATAATCTAACCTCCAACCCCAAAGATAAGAAAAATGTAGTTTGGGATCCTGGAGATAAGAGCTGGGATTCTCAAAGGCGCCTAAGGGAGTTGGATGCCCAAATCCATCGAATTTCATATTTCAATTGCTCCATGTAACGTTCCATACAATTCCACGCAATCCTGTGTACTGTGGCAAATACTGCCCCTTCCACGAGACACACAACAGGAGAAGGCTCCTCCTCCCAGGGAAAGCAGTGAATGCTGCAGATGCTATTCCAGCCTGCCACCTAGCAGCCCAGGAGGAATTTGCTCCTTCTCATCCTGCGAGACTTCACCTATCCATTTGAATTATGACAGTGCAGCACTAGCACAGGTCAATGGAGAATCAAGTCCTCAGCCAAAGTTTTGATCCTGAGTAGACGCCTAAATTTATATTTAGGCAGCTACTTCAACACGTATCTGCCTACACTTAGTATTTACATTAGGCACTTACATTGCAAAGTTTGACTTGTCTACACTGTGCGGCAATGTGTACCACAAGGGTTTCCTAATGCGTAGGATTCTAATTGTAATGTGGAGGTTGTTTGGTTGGGGGTTATATTGGCTTAAATATAATAAATATTCTAATAAACTAATCTGTGTAGCCAGTGCCCAAGCAAATACCAAGACCAAGATGTGCTACACACTAACTGGACCATGTAGACTGTGTTGGCGTGCACTAAAAATCCCCTAGTGTGTGTCGATGTAGTTCTGTTTCAAACAGTACTATGTTGTCAATGGGAGTTAGGCGCCTAATAACCTTTGTGGATCTAGGACTTAGGCTCCTAAGTCTTTCCCCTTCTCTACCCTCTCTCTTCTGGCTTTGCCAGTTGGACTGTAGTACTCACCAGTAATCAGACTGGTAAGTCAGTTTCACTCCCTAGCCTACACTCCCATCTGTTCTGATATTGTGTAAAATGGATTCCTGTCTGACGTGAATAGACAGTGTAAATATTTGATCAGCACAGCTTCAGCTTGCGGTGCCTGCACCTGAATCAGCCCACAAATAGTCTGCCGTCTTGCCTAGCATATATTTTGGTGCTACAATGGAGTTCTTGCAGACTCAGCATATTATTAAATCAAGACGCTCTGTCATGTACAACAGAGACCAGTTAAAATGTTTCCTGTTTCCTATCATTATACAAGATGTTAATTCCGCATCCCTATTCCCAGCAATAGAAATCTACTGCCAATTTTTCTCTCTAACATCAGCCCTTGTCAATTAAATGACAGCAAATAAACTGCAATTTTAACATCTCTCCATAACTAACCAAAATGACTTCACAACATTCTTTGCTTTTACTGCTCTCTCATGCCACATCACTTTCATGCAATCCTGGAAAACAGCCCCAAAAGGAGAAAATAAAATGTCAGAGAAGGAAATAAACATAGCAAAAGAAGATTTCCCTCTGCATATTTACCCAGACTCCCCTTGCTTACAATGAGCAGCCATCAAAGCACTCATTGAGTTGGTGGTTGGATATTAAGATTGGTGAAGCTATTTTTATCCTTGTTTTATTATTATTCACTCTTTAAATATTCACTTAGTGCTGGACACCAGATCAGTAGAGGAGCACTATAGAGATGTATTTTGTGTAGCTCCTTCCCTCTGCTCTGAATCTGAGTGCAAAGAACCTTTCATTTTTAAAAAAAGAAGAACAGGAGTACTTGTGGCACCTTAGAGACTAACAAATTTGTTAGTCTCTAAGGTGC